GAGTCTATTTATGTGGTGGATTACGTTTATTGACTTACGTATGTTGAACCATCCTTGCATTTCTTGGATGAAGCTAACTTGATCCTGGTGGATCTTTTTGATGTATTCTTGCATTCTACTTGCAAATATCTTATTGAGCATTTTTATGAGTATGTTCAACAGGGAAACTGATCTATTTTTTGTTGTCTTTTTTTGTTTTTTGCTTCATAAAAAGAATTTGGAAATGTTCCTTCTTTTTCTATTTTATGGACTAATTTGAAGAGTATTGGTGTTCATTCTTCTTGAAAGGTATGCTAGGTATGTTTTTCAATGAATCCATGTGGGCTTTTGTTGTTGCTGTTGTGAGATTGGTTCTATCTCATTGGTTGTTATGGGTCTGTTTAAATTATTTACTTCATCTTTATTTAACTTTGGTAGGACATATACACCTAGAAATTCATCCATTTCTTTTAGATTTCCCAGTTTAGTGGGATATAAAATTTTAAAGTAGTCCCTCATGATTTTCTGAATTTTCTCTGTGTCTCTTATACTTTCTTCCTTTTCATCTATAATTTTATTAATTTAAGTTTTCTCTCATTTTGTTAACTTGGCTAAAGGTTTTTAAGAATGAATTCTTTGTTTCATTGATTCTTTGTATTGACTTTTTTTGTTGTTTCTATTTTATTAATTTTGCCTCTGATTTTGATTTTCTCTTCCTATCTACTGATTTTTGGATGCTGTTGTTCTTGATTTTTTTCCAAAGCCCTCAGGTGCATCAAGTTATTAATTTGAGATCTATCAAATTATTTTTAAAAGTTTGTGTGTGTGTGTGTGTGTGTGTCTGTCTGTCTGTATGTCTGTATGTATGTATGTGAGGATGCATATGATTGCAGGCCAGAGGCATCAGATTCCCCCAGAGCTGGAGTTACAGATAGTTGTAAGCAACCCAATATGAGTGCTTGGATTTGAACTTGCTTGCATTGTATGCATTCTTAAGTGCTCAGCCATCTCTCTAGCCCAGAACTCTCAATTCTTCTTTTTTGTTTTTTGCTTTTGTTTTTGTTTTTGACAGGGTCTTCCTTGTCCCAGCCTGCCTGGAAGTCATGATGTGGACCAGGGAGGCCTCTATCTTGCAGAGATCTGCCTGCCTTTGCCTCCTGAGGTCTGGGATTAAAGGCATACACATTTTTAAAAAATGTAAACTCTTAGTGCTATATGCTTTCCTATTAAGACTGCCTTCATTGTGTCTCATAGGTTTGGGGATGTGGTATTTTCAGTTTCATTCAATTCTAGGTACTTTAAAAGTTCTTGATTCCTTTCTTGACACAATTGTCATTCAGAAGTGTGTTGCTTAGTTTTTTATGAGTATGTGTACTTTCCCCTGTTTCTATTATTGCTATCTATATCCTGTTGTGATCAGATAGAATGCAGTATGTTGTTTCAAGTTTCTTATATTTGTTGAGACTTGCTTTGTGTCCCAATATGTGGTCAGTTTCGAAGAAAGCTCCATGGCCTACTAAGAATGTGTATTCTTTAGTGTTTGGGTGAAATGTTCTGTAGATGTCTGTTAGCCCATTTAATTTATGATGTCATTTAACTTCAGAGTTTCTCCTAGTTTTTTTTCCAGATGACCTTTGTATTGATGAGGGTGGGGTACTGAAGTCACCCACTATTACTGTGTTGGGGTCAGTCTATGATTTTAGATCAACAGTATTTCTTTTATGAAATTGGGTGTACTTGTGTTTGGTATGTATATATGCTTAGAATTTAATAGTGCTCCTCCTAATCTCTGACTAGTTTTGTCAGATATTAAACAGCTATGCCTGCTTGTTTGATAATTCCATTTGCTTGAAAAACCTTTTTCATCCTTTTACCCTGAGGTGGTATCTATTGTTGGTAGTGAGGTGTTTCCTGGAGGCAGCAAACGGATGGATCCTGTTTTTGAATCCAATCTGTATGTCTTTATTGAGGGATTGAGACAATTAATATTGAGAGTTACTATTGAATGATGGTTATTAATCCTTGTCATTTTGTGGTATTTTCTTAGCCTCTATTGATAAACTATTCCAGAATCATTATTCCTTGTGACCTCTTGGGTGTGTTTATCCCCGTCATTATTCCTTGTGACCTCTTGGGTGTGTTTATCCCTGTCAGACTGAAATATTTCTTCTAGTGTCCTCTGTAGAACTGGCTTAGTGGACATAAATTTCTTTAATCTGTTTTATCACAGAAGTTTTATTTCTATAATATTAATAGATAATTTTGCTGGGTATAATAGTCTGGATTGACAATTATGATCTTTTAGAACTTGAAATACATTCTTCCATGACACCTGGCTTTAAAAGCTTCCGTTGGATAATCCAGTGTTCATCTGCCTTTATAAATGACTTTTTCTCTTGATTTTAATGCCTTTCTTTATTCTGCATTTTAAATTATAATATGTTGTGGGGAATTTCTTTTCTGGTGCTGTCTATTTGGTGCTCTGTAGGCCTCTCGTACCTGGATGGCCATCTCTTTCTCTAGGTTTGGGAAATTTTCTTCTATGTTTTTATTGAAGATATTCACTATACCTTTGTTATGGTATCTTTCTCCTTCTATGTCCATAATCCAAAGTTAGGTCTTTTTGTGATGTCTCAGAGCACTCCCACATTTTCTTTGTATATTTTAAAAATTGACTCTTGACCTTTTCTGAATGATCCAATTCCTCTGCCTTGTCTTCAAGCTCTGGGTCTCTGTTTTCTGCATGTGCCATTTTATTGTTGAGACTTTCTACTAAGGTTTTTGTCTGGCTTATTGAGTTTTTAATTTCCAGCATCATTTCACCTTGTGATTTCTTCAGCAATTCTATCTCTTCATTGAATTCTATTTTCATATCTATGATTGACTTCCTTATTTTATTCATCTTTGTTTTTGTTCTCTTGGGATGTGTTCATGTCTTCTTTGAGTTGTTTGTTTATATTTATAACCAGTCTTTGAGGTAGTTTTCACTGGAGTTCACTATTATAGGATTAGTAATTTTGGGGGAAACGTGTTGTCTTGGATTTTCATGTTTTTTTTTTGTTTGTTTGTTTGCTGGGACTTGTATATTTGGAGGTAGTTGTTTGAGTGGGAGCTAGGCCTAGGGATGAAGGTTTGGAGACTTCTGGAATTGCAGACCATGGACCCCTTATCAGTTAGCAACAGGGGCTGGGAAGACAAACTTTGGGCCAAGTGGTCAGGACCTGGGAACCTGTCCTTCTGTGCTGGGGCCTGAAGCTGGATGGAAGGGGCCAGCTTGGGCAGAATGGTTGTATTCTGGGGATCTCTGACCTATTGACATGGGGAGCTGGGCAGAGGGCAGAAGTTTAGGCCTTCACCTTATTTTTTTTAGTTTTAAAAAGATTTATTTTATTTTTATTTATGGGTATGTGTGTGTATCTGTATGCAAGTGTCTGTGGAAGTCAGAAGAAGGTGTTGGAGCCACTGGAGCTAGAGATACATGGGATTGTGAGCTGTGTGCTGGGAACCAAACTCCTGTCTTCTAGAAGAGAAGCAAGTGCTCTCAACTGCTGATCCATCTCTCCAGCCCCAGCCTTCACCCTATTTTTTTGGGACAAGGTCCTTAACTACACCTAGAGCTCACTGATTTGCGAAGTGGCTGGCCAGAGAGTCCCAGGGGTCCTTATTTCTGCACTGCCTCAGCACTGGGATTATAGGCACACATCACCACTAGGCTTTTACATGGATAAGAGGGATTGAACTCAGCCCTCAGTTTACACAGCAAGCATTTGACTGGCTGAGCTAAGAACACAGTTTTCAAAGACATCTTTAATGACCCAGATCAACAGCATGACTAATACCATTGGCCAGTATCTTTTAAAGTACCCCAAAAATCAGAGGCAGTTGGCAAAGAAATCACAGCTGGGTCAAGTAGAATTTTATACATGGTGCTCTTCATTCTCTTTTCTTGAGTTACTGCTTTACTTTTCTGAATATACTTTGGAAAAGTGGATGGTGTGTGTTCTAGCTTTGCTTTAGGAGGAAGCTATGAGGAGGGTTTGGATGGTTGGGAAGTCATTGATAAATACAAGTTGACCTAACAGACTTTTGGCAGGTGTTGTGGTTTGAATGAGCAATGTCCCCTGTAGGCTCTGGTATTTGAATGCTTGGTCCCCAGGTGGTGGCACTGTTTGGGGAGGTTATGAAACCTTTAGGAAGTATGACTCTGCTGGAGAAATTGTCACTGGGGGTGGGCTTTGAGAGTCTGTAGCCTTGCTCCATTTCTAGTTTACTCTTTCTGCTCTGTGCACTCAGATTAAAGAAGTGAGTGTTCAGCTTCCTGCTCTTGCCGTCATGCCTGCCACCTGCGGCCATGGCTCTCCACCATGATGGACTCTCCCTCTGGAACGGTAAGCCCAAATAAACTCTTCCTTCCATAAGTTGCTTTTGGTTGTGGTGTTTTATTACAGCAACAGAAAAGTCACTAATAGAGCAGGTATATCCTGTCGGTTAGGGATTTTGGAAACCTAACTGCATGTTGTGCGTGCCCCTTGCTTTTCCTGTTAAATATATGTGATTACAATCCATGAGCAGGTCAGTTTCCTGTATTGACACAAGCTTGAGAATCACAGAAAGCACTCCTTCTCCTGGTTATTAGCATTTAATGATCGATGAATGACTATAGTCAGTTAATTCTATGTAATCAACTGATAAGAAACAGCTATAGTATAGTAAACGCAGAAATGCACATCATTACAGATGTGAAATCATTACAGATGTGAGATCAAGGCCAGCCTGACCTACATAGCAAGTTCCAGGATAACTGGGGCTACAGGGTACCCTGTCTCAGAGAGGACCAGGCCTGAGCAAGTGTTTTTCATCTGGCCAACTCTGTGTCGTGGAGGCTAACCCTGTCACTTTGGTAACTACCCTTGGGTGTGAGCTATTCTTGAGTCCCTGTGGGCAGTAAATAATGAGTGCATTCCATTGTACCTGAAAGTTGAACTTCTACAAGAACTACAAACAGACAGACTATACTTTACCTTTAAGGTTCCAATGATCCCGCCCACTAGCAGATAGGAAGGAATTAGGGGCTGTATGGGGCAGTCCTCCAGAAACTTCATTCCTAAGTAGCAAGCAGAAGAGAATGGAGGGCAACACATTCAAAAGCACAAAGTCTGGTCATGAAAATGAGTAAAAAAGGTGCAAAAGTCAGCATTAATCACACAGCACATAACTGGATTTAATGCCCTGTTGCTGGGCTCTGCTCAGCCTCCCTGCCACCTGCTCCTTAGGATGCTATGGAGGCTGGCCTGCTGTTCTGGTGGAATGTTGCTGATACACCATCAGTCAGGGCAGGAACAAGTGTCTCTGCACATTGTACTTGCTGTTAAATAACAATGGATATCCTTACAAAAGTCAGTATATGACACTTCATGTGCTCAAGGATCCATTTTACAAAAATCTCTGTAACTAGTCAATTTCCCGGATATGTTAAAATAAGATCCCGTTTCTAGGTAGCATTCCCAAAATGCAACCACTGTATAAAATGAGTCTCTTGTTCTTTCTTACACTGCTTCTAGGAGCTAGGCGGCTGGGAGGAGCCAACAGGGAACCCTGCCACCTGCACAGCCAGCCCTCCGCTGTTAGTCATGGCCGCTGTTTATCACCACTGACCATTTTGCTCACTGAATCCCTGAAGCTGGCACGTGTATCCTGACACACTGTAAGCAACCAGGTATGGATTTTTCCACATCAACAGGCCCAGACCCCACCTTCTTAATGGTAATTTCTCCCCAGAGCAATGCTTTCTCTTCCATTCTCGGGTCCTTGTTTTCTAGGAGTTACTAAACCAGTGATATGATGCATCTATTTAAAGCAGAGGAAAGAAATGCCTATATCTCTCAGTGACAAATGTGGTTCAAGTGATCAGCCTGCAGAAAAGTACTGACACAGTTGTGCTTCACAGAAAGACTGTGAATATGTGATCCGCATAGCACCCCCCCCATGGGTGCACAGAGCTGTGTGACTAGTTCTGACCAATGGACTGTGGGACACATGAGGCCATTTAGAAACTGGTGCCTGGTCCATTATTTCCTTCCCCAGAAAATTTGGGTTGAGACAGCCCCTCTCAGGGTTGAGGCAGCTTGGAATGCTAATTATCACTTTGCCTGGAGGAACCCCGTGGCACAAGAGATGGAGGAACCTCCTGATCCACAATGGAGCCTACAAATGAGAAGCAAACCTTTATCAGGTTAAGCCACTGAGGCTAATTTGTTCCTGCAGCATAGTCAAATTACCCTGACATTTGTTAGTAGGGTCAGAGAAAGGGAATTCTTACTGTAAAACTAGTCTTCTGTTTAAGAGACATGTGAAGTTTTCATTTCGACATGTAGCAGATAGCTACAAACCCAGGGCTCAAATACACATGGGGTCTAATCACCAGCATCCAGAGAGATGCGACTTCCTAGTTATCCCTGACATTCATCTGGACCCATTATTAAGCCGCAGTTCGTTCCAAGTCTCAACACAAAGACCTTTAGTACCTGATGCCAAATTTGTCGGGTATGAACTGCCAGTCCATCCAAAGCCCAGCTGTGAATGAACATTGAGTAATCACTTAAATATCTGCTCATTCCTAATGAATCAAAACAGCTGCTGCTCACAGGAGAGCCAATCCTTGCACAGATGGCTTAGGAAGGTCCTGATACACTTTGTGAAAGCTGTCTTCCCCCTGCGCTCTTCACACACAGCTTGGCTCCAGCCCAAACTCTAGATCTGCTTTGTTTGATCTGCAACATCACTATTGTCCTTAGCTTTTACCACTTTCCCTAATGAGGACAATGACACCCAACATTATGGTGCTTTGGTGGGCTTTTTTGTTTATTTTCTTTTCTTTTTAACTTTTTTTAGTGTGATATGAGTTGAGTTTTAAAATGCCACCTTAGCCATTTTAAGTGTAGAATTTGGTGGCATTAATGTCGTTCATCACCTTGTGTCACCATTGCCACTATTGGCTTCCAAAACGTTTTTGCTACTCAAACAGAAGCTCCCCTTTATGAAGCAGATGCAGTGATTTTAAATTTATTTTATTTTATTTATTATTTTTATTTAATGTGTATGCATATATTGCCTGCATGTAAGTAAGTGCACCCCTGTCGTGCAATGCCAGCGGAGGACAGATGAGGCCATCGGATCCCCTGGAACTAGACTTACAGACAGTTGTTAGCTGCTTTAACTGTTGAGCCATCTCTCTAGCCCCAGCAGATGCAGTGGTTTTAATGTAATATCCACAGGAACTGGCCACATGAGGTTTCCTCATGAAGCAGCCTTGCTCAATGAACTGTTCCAGTAAAATCAGCATGGCAGATAGCTAACCACAGCCCAAAAGTTTCTATTACTCCATAGATTTTGCATTGATCTCTCTCTCTCTCTCTCTCTCTCTCTCTCTCTCTCTCTCTCTGCTTTTGGTCTTTTTGAGACAGGGTCTCCCCCCACCGTACCAGCTGGGCTAGAACTCACCAGGTAGACCAGGCTGGCCTCGTACTCACAGAGATTCATCTGCCTCTGCCTCCCAAGGGCTAGGATTAAAGGTGTGAGCTACCACACCCCAGCCTGCATTGAACACTCTCTTAAAGTTGCTCCTGATTTTCCCAAGTGGGATAACCCTAAGTCATATTAAGTCTCCTTGAAAAGACAGAGCCAGAGCCAGAAATTAGTGTTAAATTTTGGCCTGACGATAGCAACGACAGAGGTGGAACTGTGGAAGTGGCCCAAATGTTTGCCAGTACACAACATGGGCACAGATTGTACTGTTTTTTTTTTTTTAATTTCTGAACAATTAAAAATTTTTATTTTGGGGGCTGGAGAGATGTCTCAGAGGTTAAGAATACTGGTTGTTCTTGCAGAAGACCCAGGTTTGAATCCCAGCACCCACATGGCAGCTAACAACTGTCCATCAGGGGATCCGATAGCCTCTTCTGACCTCCGTGGGCATTGCACAACACGGGTGCACTTATCTACATTGTAGGCAATACACGCATACACATAAAATAAAAATAAATAAAATTAAATAAATTTTGAATTTTGTTTTCTTTATTCCTATCAGGCTGTCACCTTTCAGATCTAAATGTACTGCTTTTTTTTTTTCAGTGCTGGGAATTGACCTTAGAGCATCATATATGTTAAGCCACTGAGCTATATTCCAAGCACTTGAACTGTTGCATCTTAAAGGTGAAAAATCACAAAGCATAAGAGCAACCATTTTAAAGAGGATGGTTTCATGGAATTTAGTATGTTCATGATGCACAACTGGTACTGCTATGTAGTCCCCAAACTTCCTCACCCAAAAGGAAACCCTGTACCCACTGAGCAATTAAGAGTGCTGGGATTATTTGGCTGGGATTTTTCTATTCCCTTTTAAATTTCTCCCCAGTACACTATGAGTATAGAACATAGAGCACTGGTGTGCTAGGGCTCTAAGTACACAGCATAGCTAGCGTCTGCACCCAGAGTCCAGGGTCTACTGTTACCAATGCTCAGAAGCATGAAATTAATTCCACCGACAAACAATGACATTTTTGGCTACTTGAGGCACTTACCCTTAGTCCCTCCCTACCTCTTTTCCTACCTCACTCTTCTGGATTATGAAGTTGTTTAATATATGTAATAAATGGAATTCAATTTCATTAAGACAAAAACAACAAAAAGTATAGTGCACTCATACATGAGCCTAGCAAGAGATGCATTCTTACATTGCTCAACACCACCTTCCATATGGGAACTGAGGACCCAGGAACGGGCTCTGGGCAACCTGAAGCCTAGGGACTCCCAAGTCTAGGATGGAAAAACTGGAGTCATCCTGGGTCAGTGTTTTAAAGAGCAGACGCTTGTCCCCATCAATCATTCTGCATTGATATCTCCCAAGCTGGGGACCAGGAAGGTATACAGTTTTAAGTCATGCTGTGACAGCAAACAAGTATTTGAGAATCATTGGTCTGACCTTCTCTTTGTCTCCTTTGATCTAGTTTCTTCTTCTGTCCCTCCCTGCCTCTCCTTTGCTTCCTTCCCCTCATGTCCTCTCCCTTCCCTCCTCTCCTCTCCTCCCCCTTCTTCCCTCCTCTTATTCTTTTCTTGTGCTCTTTTAATCTTGTCTCTCTTGTTTCCCTCTCTCCCCTCCCCTCCTTCCTTCCTCTCCATGCTCTTTCCTTTACCTTCATAGTCTACCCTTCTCCTCCTCCTCCCTCTTTTTTCCCTCCTTCCTCTCCTCCTCCCTCTCTTCCTCCCTCTCCTCTCAGGACTGGTGATAGAACCTAGGGCCTTGCACATGTTGTTGCTGAGCTCCATCCCCAGCCATGACCAGCTTTTGTTGTTGTGTAGAAGGGGCCTCACTAAGCAACCCCAGGTGGCCTAGAACTTGCTATATATACCAGACTGGCCTCAAACTCAGATCTACCTGCATCTGCCTCCTGAGTGCTGGGATTAAAGGCCAGCGTCACCGTGTCTGACCTGGCCAGCTCTTCTTAAGCACACATTTAATGCTTCTCACCTGTGAAAGCCATGGACAGAGGCAGGGCCAGGGAAGCAAAAAGCACAAAAACAAAGCAGGCTGCAGAGAGAAGAAAGCTGGGTTAGAAACACACAGATGCATTTCCCTTTCTTTGCAGTTTACTTTGCTCCTTATGAAACCAGACCTTTCTCAAATCTGTAGTTAGCAGATGGGAGAGAAGGTCACAGCTTGCCTGGGACTTCAAGGTGGGTGCAAGCCAAGACTTGTATTGCTGAGAGCTGAACCCTGTGATCCTCTTGGCAGTTTTAGGGCCGGGATTTCCTACACCACCTCTTCAAGTGTAGATAAGGGCATATAGACCACAGCTCTGCTCATTCAAGATGCCAGAAACCACCAGCATGCACGGGGCCAGAAGGCATCCACCTGTGCCTCTCACACCTGGGGCACATGGCTCTTCCATTTCCTGGATAAAATGCACTGGGCAAAGTGCTTTCTCACTTAAAAAAATTCACTTCCTAAAATCCCTTCCTCTTTCTGTTTGTTTGCTTATGTTTCATGGCATATGACATTAGGGGACCTATGATTTAGATACAGTTGGAATTTATATGCTGCACGTCTAGTCTTTGATGAGGTGGTATTAAGAGGTGTTGGAACCTTTAAGAGCTGGGACCTAGTGGGGGTATTTAGGTCAGTGGGGGTGCCCTTGGAGGGGACTATTTGATGGCCAGAGGGTCATCACTGAAGGGTGTACAAACAGGAATCTGATCTTGGACTTTGAGCCTCTACATTTGTGGATTAAATAAACCTCAGTTTCCCTTTTAAAGTACCCAGCCTTGGATATTTTGTTATAGCAACAACAACAAAATGAACTAATATTAGGTTCTCCCCAAACCTCTTATTTAGTCACAGTATAATGGGAGTTTTTAATCCTATTCATGCCATCAATTCATTCTTAGGCAGGGGGAACAAGAGGTATAGGGCTAGACAGACATGGAGGCAAGGCTGTGACTCCTGGCCGTATCACTTACTACCAGTGTGGCGTTAGACAAATTCCTTGATCTAACAGCTCACTTTCCTCTTCTGGTACACACCAGAGGAGCTCAATTACGGCCACTATCACAGCTGGGCAGTGCTTCCCAGACTCTGGTTCCTCAGCCTCTGGTTCCTCAGTGTTAAATGGTCTACAGGTACAAGTTTCACTTGATCAGCACTATGTCTTAATGGTTAATTTGAATGTCTTTTGGGCAAGTCTGTGCTCATCCCCACTTTAGATATCCAGACAACATCACACATGTATGTTTCCTGTTGCTCCTGTTGCCAGCCCTGGGAAGCGAGACAGGACCCGAGGGAGATATTGTGGCATCTTCAGCATCTATTCCTTTTTCTCTAGATTATTATCCTGATTTTTGCTTTGTTACTCCGACCTCCCCATTCTCCCATTCAGTGTCTGTGCTCTGACAGGAGATGATTCTACCCTGGATATGGAAAAGTTCATAATGTTTATCCCTAAGCTGATCAGTATGGTCCTATAGGTGTGTTATCAGTTGACAGGCTCATAATTCCCTGGGAAAGCGCTATAGAACATAAGGATGTTCCAAAATTTATCCTTCCTTGAACACTGGTGAAGAAACAAGGTTCTCTGGGGGTCATTGGTAGCCATCTTGCCACCATAACAGGAGCCACACTTAAAATGAAGCTGACAGTGTAGAAAGCAAAAGGACAAAGTAGAAACTAGATTCTCAGTTATGTGGTTGTCCATCAAATCCTGACACCTTGAAGCTGAACTCTTCTGGGCTTTACATTTCTGTGGATCCATAGATCCCTGTTAGGCATGTTAGGTTTGGGGTCACAGAATTCAGGAACAATAGGAGAGAAAAAAGGAGACCATACCTGACCTCAGACAAGACTGAGTTTACTGAAGCGCCTCAGAGAGGGACAGCAGCTTTCCCCAATACCAGAAGCAACTTCTGCCCCAGAGGAGAGGGCTTTTGGGATTTATATAGGATATAGCTGTGGCTGGCTGACTACATATAGATCAGGGGCACTCTCGAGATGCTTATGGCCCCCTTTTACCCCTGCTTCTTCCTGGCAACATTCGCTCTGGTTTATCTTGAGAGACAGAGGGTTTATGATCTTTCCTTGGGACCATTTGTTCAAGGAGACAGACTGTCTTGGGAAACAGGCTGTCTCAACAAACAATCCTCCCATGAGGGAGAGAAATGACTGTTTGATAATGCCAGCTTTCTGCAACCAGGGCATTATATCAAGGTAAGCTACTGTAGGCAAGGGTTTCTATGATTATCCTGCATCCATTGTGATTGTCTTAATTTCCAGTGCCTTGTACTATCAAACATCTCAGATTTCTTTGCAGTACTCAGTCATATCATGGAGAAGAGATCTGACTATAAAGGCCTCCTCCAGGTGGGGGAGGGCTCTCACAGTTCCACAGCTGTCATAGCCCCAATCCCACCCAGCTGTCCAGAGCAGGAGGATGAAGGCAGGGCTTTCCCCTCAAGAGGCCCCCTGAAGTTGTAGCAATCCTGACCTTCACTTCCAGGAAATGTTAGGGGGGCAGGCATGCAGAGTGTTTTGTCCTGTTTCCACGGCTCCCTTTTCTGAATTAGCTATAATCTGGTCAGAGCCAGCTTCATTGGCACTCAGTCTGTGCAGCGCATAAGACCCAGTCCTTTGAAGGCCCCAGCATTTGATTCTTCTTAACACTTTTCTTCTGCATCTTGAAATTCTAAGTGACTTTATCTTGGAACTTGTGTTTTACAAGTGAAATCTGATGGACTGTGAAGTGAGTAGATGAGCAGCAGGAACAGTGAATTGTGTGTGTGTGTGTGTATGTGTGTGTGTGTGTGTGTGTGCGTGTGTATGGTGGGGGGATGTTCGTAGACTCTCAGAACCTGTGAGTTCCTCAGGATTCAAATGAATTCAAAGAAAGTGTGTGGTGTCTGACTGAGTAAGTGGGGATGCTGACAGCTCTAAAGCCATGTTCTCATTTCAAATGCAGACAGAAGGCAAGGGGTTCCAAGAACCAGCAACCGATGGAATCTTGTCACCTCCCTTCTCACACATGTATCACTCCTGAATGAGCCAATCTCTCACCCTGGAAAGGATGGCCCTAGGAAAGAGCCACCCAGGGCTCCCTTCCTCAGACCATCTCCACATTGGAGACAAAGTTCTGATAGATAGAGCAGGGAGCAGAGTGTTGGCAGTGGTATATCAGGAAGTGAAAGAAAACAGTTAAGTCAAGACCTTAGCAGACTGCCTGAGAGTGCCAGATCCTCCACGTGGTGAGCTTCCCAAACCTCACTGTGCCCCACCCCCTATATTGGGACCACATGTGGACCCTCCCACTGCATCAGGGCTAGGCTTCTGGGCCCTAGAGTAGAGGCCCAGGCCTTAACAGATGCCTGGGAGTGCTTGGATCCAGCTTCCAAGTGGTGGTGAGCTTCCCCAAATTGCTCTGTGCCCATCCGCTTACATTGGGAATGTGTGTGGCGATCCCCACTACATCAGGGCTAGGCTTCTCTGCCCTATAGTAGAGACCCAGACCTTAGCAGACTGGCTGAGAGTGCCTGAATCTGGCCTCCATGTGGTGGTGAACTTCCCCAAATTGTGCCATGCCCATCCCCTTATACTGGGACCACCTGCAGTCCATCCCATCACCCCAAGTCTAGGTTTCTCTTCCCTTTAGTAGGGGCTCAGACTTTTGAAGACTGCCTGAGAGGGCCTAAATCAGGCCTCCCCTTAGCAAGCTTCCAAAATTGTGCTGACTGCTAACTAGTAGGGGCCCAGACATTAGGAAGAAGCCTAAGAGTACCTGATGGGTGCCTGACTTTGGCCTCTACTGGAGTTCCTGAGTAGCTGGACTGAAGCCATCTGGTCCCTCCAATATAAAATCTGAAAGAATTTGAAGCCTAGACCAACCAACTTTACATACCTAATAAAAAAATAACCAAGGCACACCAATAGTACAAACAGTAGAAGACTTCAAGTCAACAAAGTCTGGCTTGAGGTTCATATGAGACTAACAAACAACAAAAGAAATCCACATGTCAAAATTACAACAAAAATAATAATATATAAAACCAAAATAATATTCACACCAAATACCACCAGCCCTATAGAAAAGTTCTACAAGGAGAACCCCCTAGAGATAACCCAGGACACAGAATTTAAAAGAAAAATCATAAACATGATCAAAGAATTCAATGAATTTAAAACACACACAAACAAATCAAAGAACTAAAAGAAGATAGGGATAAACTTCTGACTGAATCCACAAAAGAGATAGAAATATTGAGAAAAACTCAGACTGAAATGAAGAAGTAAAAAACTCAATAAGCCAATTTGAAACAACAGAAGAAAGCCTCACCAATAGAATGAATGAGATGGAAAACAGAATATCAAGACTGGATGATAAAGTTGAAGAATTGGACGATTCAAGCAAAGATTATGAAAATATTTTTAAAACACAGGAATGAAATATGCAGGAAATGTGGGACACTATGAAAGGACCAAATCTACATATCACAGGCATAAAAGAGGGAAAAGAATGTCAGGTTAATGGTATTGACCAGATCTTAAACAGGATTGTAGAAAAGAATTTCCCAAAATTAAGGAAAGACATGCACAAATACAAGAAGCACATAGAACACCAAATAGACAGGACCAGAAAAGAAACTCCCCACAGCATATCATAATAAAAACACTAAATGTACAGAACAAAGAGGGACTACTGAAAGCTGCAAAAGAAAAACAAGTCATATATAGAGGAAAGCCCATCAGAATTAAAACTAACTTATCAGTGCAAACTGTGAAAGCCAGAAGAGCCTGGATCAAAGTATCCCCAGTTCTAAATGACCATAGATGTCAACCAAGAATACTTTACCCAGCAAAAATTTCTAATATAGTTGAAGGGGAAAGAAAAACCTTCCACAACACAAATAGGCTGAAAGAATACATGTCGACAAAACCAGGCCTTCAAAGAATACAACGAGCTGAGAAAAGGAATGACTATACCCAAGGGGTAACAGAAAGAACTTAAATGAAGGTATAGTTGTGGAAACACAAAATTAGACCCAGAATGC